CAACTGTTGCAGAGAATGCAAGTGATGTGATCAGTTCAGATGTTGCTAAGCTACAGACACAACACTCCAGTGCTTTTGTGGAAATATCTGGAGATTTTAATCACGCTTCATTCTCTGCTACATTTCCAAAGTTTCCACACCTTGTCAGTGCCTCTGCCACAGAGAGCAAAACATATGATTTTGTTTTATGCAAAAGTTAGAGATCCATAAATCTCCAAATGCCCCTAATTGCCCATTGAGGATCCACAAACCTCACTGGACAAGTCAGAGAGCCTTCTTGTCTTAAATATAAATCCCTTGCTTAGAGGCAGCCTGTAACAAAGAACTATGAGAAAATGGTCACAGGAGGCTGAAGACGTAGATTCCAGTCATGTGGAGATGAAATCAAAGCCATTACTGAGTGTGTGTGACTGACTCTAAACTTCTGCATGGACAACATCATACCAGCCAGCAAAGTTGAAATGCTTCTCCAGTAACAAACACTTGACTAACAGTGACCCGAAGGAACTGCTAAAAAAAAAGAGCCTTCAGGAAGGGAGATGGGGGACTATTGAGGAGCATACAGAAGCAACGTAAAGTCAAGATTAGAGAAAATAAGAAAGCATACATGAAGCCAGAGAGGAAGCTCTAAAAAAGCCATATCAGAGCTGAGTGGTCAGGGATGAAGAAGGTCTTATGGTAAATACTTGTTGAGGAAGCTTCGGTCCGTCAGTGCATCTCTTTTACAAGTCTGTTGTGGAGAGCGCAATCTCTTCTGTCTTGATTTGTCGGGGTAGAAGAATCAGAGCCGTGAACTTAGGTTTAGCTAGTTTACCTTCTTAGATAAAGAAAGATATTCTAGGGACTACATATTGTGCAAAGAAGGAGTCTTCATAAAATGAAGAACATGATTGAGAACCCTGATCATCTTCTTCATGAGACAGTCATACAACAAGACAATATATTTTATTTGGATTTAATATGATAGACCAACGTAAAATAGTATTGGTCTACTTGAGGCTCCGACAGTCTTGACAAATATTGATATTTGATCTAAGCGATTCCATAAAAAGTGTGAGCCTTAATCAGAGTATCATGTCCTTTGCAGCCTTTGACAGGTTTTCTTCAAGGATCGCTCTGTCTTTTAATCCATTTTCCCACTAACTCTAACCACCGTCAATGCCACTGCTGAAGTAAAGTATCCATGAAGTGGCAGAATGAGAGCACAACCCGTAGTTTTCCTGTCAGATTCTGCGTGGATCTCTGTGGCTCTCAGTTGCCTTGGCTGCTTCACTAAGTAATATTCTTCCTATTCAGTCTTTCAGTTCAGGTTCATGGTGACATATCTTAGTAGTACGGTATGCCCCATAGTTTTTCCATTTTCAGATGACAGACAATGCTCCAGATGTTTTCCAAAACTTACGATATTGTTTTCTAAACTAGTTCTATCATAATTATGACTGTAGAGGACCCAACTGATAAGAATTCATGGAAAACATTTTAAAAGGTATTTATTAAAGGAATGAGGCAAAATCTCCAAAAAAAAAAACAAAAAAAAACACATGAGTTGACTTGTATTTCATAAACAGGAAATAATTTGAGGGGAAAAACTCAGGTGCAAGCAAAGCTTGATGGAAGGATCTGACAAGGAACTAAAAAGGCTAGAGCATATCAATACAGGGACAAGTCACTGCATGACAAGGACCATGTGGTGGTTAGCTGATCTATTCAGCTGTGAGAAGTGTGAATCTAAGGGCTGAGAAACAGAAGGATAAGCAGCATAAATATGAGCTTATCAACAAAATACATTGAAGTTTGGAGTTGTAATGTGACAAAATGTTCAAAAGTTCAAAGGGTATGGATATTTTTGTGAGACAAGGAGGAGGAGGTGCAACAAAAATATTTGAAATTACACTAACTACTAATGTCATGTGACATCACACAACATATAATATATAACCACAATGTTATATATCCTAATAATGATGTGTTATTTTGATGCAAACTGTCAACAGCTTTAAGTGGAAGCTTTGCTACATTTACAGAAAGCATCCAAGTTAACCAGCCCAACGTGACTGAGAAAGGATCGAGACGTAAATAAAGTTCCTGAAATGTTCAGAGACTGAGTTTCAGATGCTCAATAAAGGTTAATTTGCAATCCTGAGGAAAACCATTGCTGCCTGCCTGCTGTTTGATAAGAGACTCCAGGCCCAAGTCAAAACAGCTTTGGTCAAAGGTTATATTTAATTAGTCCAAAATGTTAGCTTTTCTACTAGAGGAATAGTCTTAAGCTTAAAGCTGACACTGCATAATGATTGCTGGCCAATAAAAAGTTTTGTTGTATTTATTGCAGATCAATGTTTGCGACTATCAGCCTGTGACTAAGATTTCAGATGCTAAATAGTTCACATCTTGGAGTCACACATACTCAGGTATTAACTGAATAAGTCTAATAATTTTTTTTCTAATTTTTTTTTTAAACTGGATTACTTTTGTGCAATTTTGAGAGCATTCAAACAATTTGGGTAAAAGTCAGAAACCCTACAGATGAACACTAATTAAAACAAAAAGTTAACACGAATGACAGCCTGGAAAAAAAACACTGTGTCATAATGAGCATAGAAAGAGTTTTGTGTGTCCGTTATTTCCCAGCGCAATCTACCAGGCTCATCATCCTTGGAAATCACACTCAAGAGTCAACTGCCCAGTAACACAGCAAGTGAAAGATAATGTGAGTGCCTGCAGTGAAACACTGAGCAGTTTTCAACACTCCAGATGGAACAACAGTCATACTTCCCATTTCCTTACTAAGGTTCTTGAATTTTGTTTTTCATTTTAATTTTTTTAAGATTATCAATAAATCTCAAAGACACCTGTAAAAAGGTGTATTCTCTCATCTCCCCAGTATTTTTCTTTTCTTACAGGTGCCCCCTGCAATAATTGATGCATGCTCACCATGGTTACCTAAAGGTGTTTAAAGGCCAGAGCAGTGTCAGGTTCTCTAGCAGTGGAAATGGGCCATGCTGTGGGTGTTTGAACACACCTTCCACATGGGTTACATACACTTGTAACCAATGAAGGTTACATGTACTATTTGTTACATCCTTACTAAAATATAACATGTAATAAATTATGTCTTAACAGACCATTTTGACTAGATTGCTTATGTTTGTAAAGATGAAAACCTGTTTTTCCTCACAGAAACCTTATGTTAACGTTGATTGAAACGGACAGAGCTCACCTGGCCACAACTTCATTGTCAACTTTAACGATGCAGTAAGGATCACTCGTCCCAGATCTGAAAATTAGGAGAAAACGTTGGCAGGATGGTCACATAGTAATTAATTACAATACATTTCCTTTTTCCTTTTTAATGATGCTCAGGTCAATACGAGCAGGTAAACATAGTTGTTTTTTGTTTCACATGTGGTTCTTTGAATTTATTCAAATGAGAAATCAAAATAGAGTTCTTCGGAAACCAAATTTTAGACGTAGGTAATTTTATCAGGTAAGGCTGCAACACAGAAGCACATGCCATTCAGAAATTACTTACACGTCTTTGGCCGGAAGGTTCCTGCCCTCGACAATCCGAAAATAAAGAGACGTGTTTTGGGCCATTTTCACTCCGGTAATTTATTTATCCGCCGAGTATCTCTTATGTTGCCATGCGAGCTGGTATAAATAGCCCCCCTGCCTTTCTGCGAGTGAGTTTTCTCCGTTTCATGACACCTTCAGCTCGTGACGGCGCTCTGCCCACCAGCAGCGCGCGACCCAGGCGCGCTTCACGGTCCAGTCAGTGGAGCGGGTTAAAGCCGCGAGCCCCATGTAAATCCACTTTACATGGGGCTCGGTTTTACAGTCCACTGTTGTACCAAATAATTCAGTCCATGGATGGAGTGAACAATGCGAGCCTCAGTCAATCCGAGAAGCTTTTAATGGGGTTTAAATATAGTATTAATAAGATGGGGGGGATGGGGGGGGGACAATAAAATAAACGGGTTTAACAGTTTGTTTACAAACCCACAAGGCGTGGTTCTCCTTCTTCTGCGAAGTCAGAAACTCCTTTATGTTTCCGGGTTAAAATTACAACTTAGTTCAGGTAACACTATTTGTAGAAGCGTCTGCGTAACAGTCGTAATACATTTTAGACAATACATTTGAAGCTCCTGTCCTTTGATATAAAGCGCCATCTGTCGACCATTTGTATTGAGTGCCAAAAGTTGAAAGCGACCAAGTCTGTAACGGCTGCTACAACAGAGCTTTGGACTCCAGAGGGCGCTGTTAGGAAGATAGATTAAAATTCAAATGGTCACTTACAGCTGTTATCAAAAAACCTTATTATAATTGAAGAAAGTCCATATACTTGAGGAAAACATTTTATTTTCATGTGACTTTCTTTATCCCACGTTTTTTGTTTTTGTTTTTGGTTGGACCATGAGCCTGAGAAAATATTGAAACAAATTCTAACAACAAGTTATAAATTTTACTTTCACAGCCCACGTTTTTGTCTTCCCTAATTGCAATTATGAGATGCTTTACAAAGTCACAATTTTGGGTTTCAATATACCAAAATGTGGACTTTTGGTATTGAAAGAGGTCAAGTCTTTCATCAAGGAACAAAGTCAAAAAATATCAAAATATTACAGGAATAAAGGAACAACAATGACAATCAATTGCATGTATATAATATATTAAAATGTTAAAATTATAGAGAAACATAAAGTGGACATGAACCAATCTGACACTCATGATTGGTATGTAACAGATATAAAGAAAGAAAGCAGTTGAAGGAAAAAGTTTATATTACTTCAAAAAATATGACATGATATGTGGAAAAATTATTCATAAGTTCATTCAGTTCTCATTTTAATAGTTAAGGTTCATGGTACTTTTCTCCGGTTTATGTTGCCACACCTAGTCCAGTAGAGGGCGGCAATACACTTATGTACTGATTGCCAAGCACCAAAAACATTCAAAGAAGAAAAATCTCAGCAAATACAGACAGGCGGGTTTACAGGCAGCTATTTTTGGGGTCCTCTTAGATTAAACAGACATACAGTTAAAACAACTTGTCTGCTTCGGTATATTAAATAGATTTGCAAAATTATTCGGTTTTAGTAACATAAAAAAAGTTTATATCCATGGTGTTGTAAATTACTTCAGTGATGTTCCTCCTTAAAGTTTAAGCCATGAACAGTAAAATGGGGTTAGCTGAACTTGGTAACGTTCATTATCTATTTTGACCAACGTTTCAAGCAGTTGTTTTTATAGTTTAAAAACATGGATCCCGTAGTCCCCGACAGTGATTCAACAAAACTACAGGAGAGACATTACTACTTGCTATCTGAACTGCAAACTTTAGTCAAAGACTTACCAAGGTATGTTTTTTTTTTCCTCATTATATCTTCACTACAGAATAACTTCAGCAACTAAAGTTACTTACAATACTTGAATTCAATAGAACTCGCATTACTTACTTAGATGTAGTTTGTCGCCTATAAAAAAATCATAATGGGAACTCTGTTTTACTACTTTGCTGAGAATATTTATTTATGGAAGCTAAAATATACCAACAACAAACTTTTAAATGTAATTTAGTGTCAGAACACAGGCAGGTTTAAACTTGACTTTTATGACTTGTTCTTTTCCCCCATTGATCAGCTCCTTCCAGCAGCGGCTGACCTACAACACGCTGAGCGACCTGGCTTTAGCCCTCATTGACGGCACAGTATATGAGATTGTGCAGGGCCTCCTGGATATTCAGCATCTGACAGAAAAAAATCTGTACAACCAAAGGCAGAAGCTGCACTGTGAACATCAAGGTCTGTACCAGTCGTACAAAACGTAGTCAAAAACAGATTTTCATAAAAATTATAAATCAGAAATTTGCTTCGTTTTTTTTTTTTTTTTTTTGCCTGCAACTTACAAATTATTTTTAACTCTCTTTTTCCTCCCCCCTAAGCACTCAAACAAGATCTGGTTCGAAAACACAAGGATGCATTACAGTCATGCAAGCCGCACAACCTCTCACTTCTCAAGACAAGCCAACAAACTGAGCTTGAGGTGAGAAATAAAACCTCAGTAGTTATGTTTACACCGAGGAATTCCAGACTGTTATGTGTATTATGTTTTGTTTATGGGTTTCAGGCTTTGGAAGTTCGGGTTCGCGAGGAGCAAAAAATGATGGATAAGAAGATTGTTGTAGAAATGGACCAAAAAGTGACTGACCAGCAGAACACCTTGGAGAAGGCAGGAGTCCCAGGGTTTTACATCACCACTAATCCTCTGGTAAGTGTTCTTATTTCTTTCTGATTCACTCTAAACAGATTTTTTTTTTTTTTTTAATGAGTCAAACATCCATCAGATACAGATTTACATCTTCTCTAACCACTCTTCGACCAATTATGTGCGACTGCAGGAGCTCACGATGCAGATGAACCTGCTTGAACTGATTCTCAAGCTTCAGCAGAAGGACTCGCAAGCCGGACTGCTATGAGAAAGATGTGCCAACAGAGGCAGTGTTTTCTATGGTTTTCATTTACAAAAGATAAAAAAAAAAAAAGATGTGATCAAAGATTTGGCCACATCCTGGAAGAATTAAGTTTTGGCCTGAAGGAGAACAGTGGGACATTTTGACAGACCACATCATAGTTAAGAAATGATAAAAGTGGACCTAATTCCTGTTAATGCACTGTAAACATTCTTAAGGACACTTTGCCTGTTATTTCGTGCTGCGACTTAAAGCAGGGGGACAGTTTTGTTAAACACTTATGTATCTCTCATTACCTTTCTGAGAAATACCCACAGTTTTGAGTATTTCCATTTTTTTTTTTTTTTTTTTGCACTAATCCACAAAACTTACTTTGTCCCATGTGCACTTGGAAGTTTCATCTGTTGTTAGTTTATGGTCTGGTTTTATTGAGTTTAGTGTTATCATGACACTTGTGATCTTACTTTAGTTGTCAGTAAAGTTTTGTTTTTGTAATTATGTTCCTAATGTATGTTAATCTGCTGAAACTGTGAAGAATAAGTCTTTAGATTAGTTTTGTTTTTTTGAACTATTTCATAAATAAAACAGCTGGGCAAAAAAATGGTCAACTCATAAAAACTGCATGTCACCCGAAGTCATGAATCACACTTTTGAAAGACCCATTTTTTTCTGCTTCCTGAAGTGGACATTGTTAATATGAGGAATAATCCCATCATCTGGATAAACCTTAAGTAGAAAACTGCTTAATAGAACTGAAACCTGTTCTCTATGTACCACAAACATACTGCAAAGCACAAAATTATATTTCTGGTAGATCTGTGTGTAAATTATCTTAGATTAAAGTGTTCTTTTACCTTAACCTACATGTTTCTTCAGATTCAGATTTAAAGGGTCTTAAATGTGTCAAAATACTACAATCAGCCACAGATTATCAGCAAAAAAGTTGCAATGTCTGTGTCTTGCTTGACTGGAAGAATTCACAAGCATTGATAATTGTGAGTGTGTGGGGAAAGTTAAGAATCTACACAATTTCTGCAGCCTGTGCTGTTCTAAAGCAGATGGAGGGCAGATCTTGACAATATATTATTAAGGATCTGTCCTCTCTAGTTTATCCCGATTATTCTGGAACAAATGCTTTCGTCGACCCGGCAGGTGAAAAACAGCAGCTCCCTGGTCAAAACAAAAGAGCCCAGTCAGGAACTGTCACTATATTACACATCAAGGTGGTCATATTAAATTGTTTGGCATTTTGGACTGGAAATGTCTACTTTTAATTTAACTTAAAACTTACCCATTTCCATTTCTGAGTAAAAGTAGGATACATAATGCATGTTGTATCCTGCTGCCATGCATAAAATGCAAGAAGATTGGGGGTAAAGATAATCTCTACTTGATAATCTCTTGAGATTAAAAGTTTTAGCTCATACACTGACATTGTGAAAGTAGTTTCGAGAGAATGAAGATATTTTGTTTCTCCTTTTAGTCCAAATGGAGGCGCTAATGCACCTCTAGCGTGGTTTGACAGTTGCCAATGAAGCCAGAAGCAGCAGCAGGGAGATAGCAGCGGTACTGAGTTAGTGCACTACAGTGGGTTGTTTCTTTGTCACTAGCTGTTATTTGGCTAAATAAGCTACCTACCTATTTGCAATGATTGCACCGGGTGTCGGGTTTTTCCCAGTAGCAACGTCGGAGCTACAATGAAGGTGCACTTTTTAAATGTATCTGTTGTCCATAGCAGCAATTACCTAACGCTGGCTAACCTAACGGTGGCTAATGTAACGGAAGCCCCGGCGGAAATCACAGCGGCCGGTGCTACATTAGCCTTTAAAATGCGTCGCTTATGTGTGAATGACTTTTTGGTGATTTTTATTTCTTACTAATTTATATGTTTTGTTATTCTGTTGTACTATTGGTGTAGTAAGCTCTTGTTTAGACTAGCATTGCTGTTTTCTTTTTCCTTTGTAAAAATGGTCACTCTGTATGTAATAATGCATAACAATTCTCTTGAGCAACACATTGGTTGTTTTTGTGGTTGCAGTGTTTATGCACCAAGCTGGGACGGCAGCTTCTCCTTGCTAGCAGCGTTGCTTACTTCCATTTATGAAGAACATCTTCAAAGTTGACATGGAGTGACACACCTTTGAGATGAAACAATGTTGTCATGTGTCCAGGCTGGGGCTTCGTCGGTGTGGGCTTCATGCTGTGGTCTGCTGAATGAAGTCATGGGTACCGGGGCCGTCCGAGGCCAGCAGCCAGGGTTTGGTGCCGGTGCCGGGCCCTTCAGGTTCGCCCCCAGTGCGGGATATTCCACGCACCCACCCAACAGCTCAGGGAACCCCGGCCTTGTTTGTAGGGCTTGTGGACAGGCCTTCTCAGTATTCAGGATTAAGGTAGGTCTCATTAGATGCGGTAGATTCCCGTCCACGTCAAATGTGCGTCATACGAAAACTAATTTTAAGTTTTGGAAAAACTTAAAATTAGTTTTTTCCAAAAACTTAAATTTCTTCTAAAATTTCTTCTTTCTTTTTTTTTTCCCCCAACAAAAAGAAAGAAGAAGAAGCAGCTAATCACTGAAGAAGCTTTTTCTGTCATGCTTTCTAAATCTGCTCACAAAAAAAGCTTTAAATAATAACAAAGATCATAGGTGACAGAAAAGTAAAGACCAAGACAGCTGCAATATATTAACAGCTAAAAATTCTGGGTTAGTTTATTTTTAATCTGTTAGTTGGATAGACTTTTTGCCGAGTGACTGAGATAATAAAGCTCAAACAGGCTTGTATGGAAGGGAATTTTGAATTAATCACAGTTGATATTATCATTGCAATTTTTAACAATATTAGAGGGGGAGGGGAATTTCTATATCTTCCAGCCTTGTTCTAATTGCTCAAATGTGTTGAAACAGGAAAAAAAAATCTAAAACGTGTACTGCAGGTAATTAGCATGGATTGCAGCTGCGTATAAACTTAACAAATCTGCACAAAACCCTTTGATTTCCTAAATGTTAACTGTGCATTAGTTGTGTTGGACTAAACTTAAGAGATTAGAACTGGAATGAGTTACTTAAGAGATTTTGAGAAGATCAGAATTAGGGTTAATACCCTGACAGTCTCACACGGACCCCCTCTATGTTCATCTAACACTTTTTCTGTCTTGGCTCAAAGTGAGATGTTCTTAAATGCTGTTTCTCCGTTTTTCTCCCTCATGTCTTCCTCATTTTCCTATGAATTTCGCTCTCTAACCGTTTTCTAACCTAATCTAACTGTTAGAAAACGGTTAGATTTTGTTTTCTAACCATGACATTACAGTCTGTTATCTCAAACGTTTGTTTAAAGCTTGTCATGAACTAGGACAGTTACAGGGTTTTGCATATGTGTCCTGCAGCGCCGCTCGGTTATTTGCCTTTTCAACCCTCTGATGCGTGAGTGACTGACTATACAGTCTTCCGTGAGTGGGTCCTTTTTGACCCGGGTTACAATCAATGTGTCTTTATGCTTCTTTTGTCATTTTGATTCAAAATAATGTTTTGTATAATACTTTCTACTGTGTTTTATTTTACACAAGAGTTATTTCATGTTTGAAATATTTTCATTTTTCACTTTTTTAAACGTTTTTAGAACAATTTGTAGAGCATTTCTGACAATTTGTAGAACATTTTTAAAACAAAATGACAACAGCAGCAATTTTGCAACAGCAATGATCAAATGTCAATAATGGACAATGTTAACATCCATTATGTGTGTGTGTGTGTGTGTGTGGGCACGGGGGGCTGAAGGAGGTGGAAAAGAGCACATTTCTTGAAACTAGCTAGCTAACCAAGCTAGCTAACATTACTGTCTCTATTCTG